CCCCCCCCCCCCCCAATATTTTTCTAATAATCATTCTTTTTTCAAAATCATGCAGACCTTTACCATTTAAATAATATACCTTTAAAACACTGACAATTGATTAATTTTAAGAGGCTACATTATCCATGACAAACTGCAAAGAATGAAGATATTACCCATACTTTCCTTCAACTTATCCAATATATAGTTAATTAAATACGCCTTCGCCCATTTAGTGCTACTAAATTGTAAATTTCGACATACCAAAACGCTGTTTTCTGACCATCAGAATTCTGTCAAACCTTCCCTCAAAGTCCAGTAAATCGGGCATTTCAGAGACTCTAAATTTAAAAAGTTCCTCGGGCCTTCGGCCCTCGCTTTCTCCCCCCCCCCCCCCCCCCCCCCTCCCCCAATCAAAAAGAGCTTCCCACGGCAATGCTATCCATAGCATTGTACATGTCACTTCAGTTTTGCTGATTTTATATACATAATACAGCTGCTATTAAAGAGCTTTCCCGAAGAAATTTAAATTTGGACCAGGAATCAAAGTCCCAGTCCCAGCCAGAAATTTTCATATTTTCTGAACCCCATTTTCCCACTGTAATGTTTGCTTGAAGCTTTACATCATCAAAAAGTAATACAGAAACCTGGAATTCCTTACCCTTTAGAGACGCTCAGAATATTTTATATTACTAACGGCAATAGTTTTTAATAAGAATAATGTCGAATGTTTGTCCCGCAATTACTAGAATAAACCCAAACAAAATTTAGAATTTCCAAAATATCATATTGTAGCCCCCCCCCCTCCCGCCAATTCTCGACACTTTTGGAGAGCCTCCCTTGTTAACATTCCAGGACTACACCACTGACCAGATCAACTCTTAGCACAATTAAAGGGTTTGATCTGTTTAAGGAGAACTATCTATGAGCTATGCATACTCTGTCAAGATATGATGGTTTGGAAGTCCGGCAAACTTCAAAGCCACGAAATAGAAGGCTTTTGTTTGATATTGAACTGTACCTCACCGCGCGCGAATCTTTTGTTTCGACTTCATTATATATATATATGTTATTTACCTGCTGCGAGGTCCGGATGAGAAAAACTGTGCCCGAGGTCTTGAAAACGGCCCGAGCCCGACGGACGTTTTCAAGACCGAGGGCACAGTTTTTCTCATCCGGACCGACGCTGCCGGTAAATAACATGTTTATTTTTTATCAGATGGAAAAGTAAAATTCATTAGAATTCCAGTGTTGCTTGCGAACTAATTTGAGATCAGTGCAGTTGTGTATTTTCAAAGCGAGGCTGACAAAAATTGAAAAGTTGAAAGATATAAAACACGAATACGAAAACTCGAGAAAACTGGCAAGAAACACACAAAAAGACGTATAGTTTCAGTAAAAATGTACATGCTTTTTTCATGTATATGGTAGCAGAGAAGATTTGGAATAAAATGTTTTATGCCTGGCTTTTGGCTTTGGCTTTGACAAAATCAGTTGCTCCTGACAACAACAGGTTCATGTTCAGATCCGATCAAAAACACATAAAAATGAATATGTTTTGATTTAATCAACGTTTTTCTACTAAAAAAACAATGAAAAAGGTATGTTATTTTTATGTTTTTGTATTTTTGCTTGTCGTTTCACGATAATATGCTTGAAAAAAGTGTTTTTAAAAACAAATTTTTACTTTGTTTACTATATTTATATCAGTGAAAAATGCATGACACAAATGGGCAGAGAATATATTCGTGACTTGTTTTCACTGCTGTGATTTTCAAACGTTTTTGGCAGATTTTTTCGTTTAAAAATTGTTTTACTCCTCGGTTTTTGGCGCGAAAACCAGAGCGGGCAGTTGCATTTCACAGCGGGCAGATGCGTTTCAGAGCGGGCCGGATGCAAAAAGCCGGCCCGCTCTGAAAGGCTCCTCAGCCAATCGGATTGCTTCATTTTCACTGATAAAAAATAATAAATATTATTCATCGTGATTGCACGTTTCATGTCAGCGACACTAGGGAGCTTAAGCATGTAGGACGCCAACACGACGACGACGGCCAAAACAAATTCCTTCAAATAAATGATAGTGAAGAAAACTTGTCGTGTATTATAATTCGTATGAATTTTAATACAGTATCAGAAGTTGAAAACATTGGCTTTATGTTTGGGAAGAGTTCCACTGAACCGAATGTTAAGTTGCACTTGTTACGGCTTGAAATGCCCGCGTTGTATAAAAGGCGTGAAAATCTGTGATTTGCCGTTGCAAAAAGAGCGACGACTATGTCTGAAACTCCCCCAGGACTTAATTATTTATTTCTTTTCATTGACTCGTTGTATTGGTTGCCGTCGTTGTCTTGTTGCCGTCCTACATGGTTAATCTCCCTACTACCTCTATTGGACGGTTACTTCGTTATACGAAAATACAACGATCTCAATCACCGTGACCGTGCACAAATTAGAAAAAGGACTTACGTTTACTTTCCATACCATCATACCTTGAAAGACTATGAGCTATACAGTAAGCATTCGAAGCCCTACGTTTCTCTAATTATTACTTTTATTAATTTCGAAACAATGGCTCTATCGCACAGCGAAATCTTGCCTTATTTTTTACAGCTCAGATGATGACAGCTTTAATTTAGAAATATTTGAGCTAAATACTGTGCAAGTTAATTTTAATACAGATATTTTGGTGAGTTTGAGCAAATATATTGCAAATCAACATTTTATACCATCGCCAATGATGCTGATCCTTATTCGCATTTGTATAGTGATTTAAACTATTTTGTGATTATTTAATAGAGGATCAATTCAATAGGTTCAAGAATACTAGTATTTTTGTGATTATTTAATAGGGGTCAATTCAGTTTGGTGAGTTTGAGGATCAATTCGGTTTTGTATAGAGGATCAAGTCAGTTTGGTAACTTATCGTCCGCATAAGAATGTTTTCTTTTGTACGTCGTTTAGTAAATTTTGCAGTAATAGGTGGAATACAATAGAGGATCAATTCAGTTTCATAATTTATATTAGTATTCATGAATTTAAGTCTGGCCAAGATACCAATAGTGAGGCAATCCATGCATGTGATATCGATCTCTATCATCCATATTACTAAAGCTATGACTCAATTTTGAAAGGATATTGATAAAAGTCTGGAAAACCATCGAGCTAAAAACCACTCGAATTTTATCAAGAATTAATTCACGACGACAATACAAGTGAAATCGATCTATGAAGCGAATGATTCTAACGCCTCCAATTTTACCGTGAGTGAGTTTCCACATCAAAGCAACACCAATGTCACCAGTCAACAAAAAAATCCATCAACTTGTATTACTCTAAATCCGAAATATCTGGTGCCATGTCCCTTCCTGCGCAGGAAAGGACATTGTTTAAAGGGTTTCAATTGTGATTTTAATTTCACATAGTAACAGCCCACTACAGCACTCCCGATTTTATTAATAACAAAACTTGTCACCCCCTTTTCACAAACGAACTCCTTATCCTTATCAAATCCTTCTACCAGCGATGAAAATCCAATTTGCCACTCTCCCATGATTTACCCGTATATACAGCCTTTAATGGAGATGCCCACAAGATCACCTCGACGTTGACAGTGCCACTACAACTGCCCTCATTGCTTTATCACATGATTTTAAGTAATAATTCCAACATGTGCAGGATTAGCAACGAGCCAATAGAAATCCCTATCAGTACAGAGTTACCAATTCCTGTTATAATTTCAAAATGAAATAACATGTAAGAATTGTTGTCTAAGGAAGAAAACTGTGCGCAAAGTTTCCACAAACTACATTCTGTATCCATACAAACCTGTACAAGAAAACAGGACAATAATTAAGGCATCACGGCTGCCTCAATTCTCTTTAATAAACGCTCGGTCCCTTGTTTCGAAAATTGATTAACTTTTTGCATGTTTGTACTGAACTACAACATTGACTTCGCTGCAGTCACTGAAACCTGGTTTCATAAAGATATTGCTGACGAACTTGTGTCTTTTGATAGCTATTGTTTATACGTGATCGGGAGTATGATCGCGGACTCGCGGAGGTGGTGTTTGCTTGTAATGTCTCAAATTCCATCTGCAGTAAATGTCTTTTTGATCTTGAAGATACTCAATACGAATGGATAGTTAAAGGGTTTAAACTAAAACAAATTATCTGAAATTTTGTACAGTAATTAAAAACCCAACAAATTTTCCATCCATTAACTCAAAATACGCTAAAGCTTTTAAATTTGGTGCGCAAGCCATTTTTAGTTGGAAAAGACACCCCCGCTGGTTCACAAAATTTGAGTTCCAAATTTTTTTCTTCATTATTCTACCTTATAAATACCCAAAGAAGCTATATACATAAAAAAAAACTAGATACTAATGGCTGTTTTGCGTTATTGGGAGCAATTTCAAATCTGTTCAAGTTTTTTTATACACCCTTGTATATTCAATAAAAACCAACTTGATCAAATGTTCTCCTGCGCTCCGATGATAGTTCTTGCCTCCACTTTACCTTGTTAGTCAGGTTTTCCTTGTACGCGTTCCATAATCAGTAATACGATTGTTGTACAGAGAATCTTATACGAAAACGTTTGCGATGAAATCAAATTGCATTAGCAGTGTTGCTATATAACTATTTATAATATTATTGATATCGGTATCAAAATGTTGTTGTTCTATTGATATCGATATTCCCATGTTGTTATTTATATAACTATATCACCATATTGTTATTTTAATAAAATCGATATCGCTTTTTAACATAAATGATATCGTGATCGCTAATTGATGTTAATGTCGCTAATTGATGTTGATGACTTTTCTATTGTGACGTTAATCCTTCTATTGTTGCGACATTGTCGGCACCCTTTGGCCACCATATACTCAGCGCATTGTGTTTTTACGCGTGTTTATAATGATGTTTTACCTGCAGAAAATGTTGCTTGGCCCCAAATCAAGTACAAGCTGTGGCTATAAAGCAAATATATCTTGCCATACTTTCGAGCAAACAATAGCGCTGTCCACAATTGACGTCACGAAAATTCGACCCCCCGCCAAGACTCAGACAAACATTGGCAACACTTAGGGGCTGTTCATATGAGCCCTGCTTTGCCGGGCTGGCCCGGCTAGCCGGGCTGCTTTTCAAGTGCCGAGATCCCGCCTCACAAATTGTTTGTATATTAATTTAGGATTGGGTTCATATGAGAAGCGGCCCAGCCTGGTTTGCCGGGATCTCGCTTGAGCGAGGCGAGATCCCGGCTTGCTGGGCTCATATTAATGCACAACCGGGCTAGCCCGGCAAGCCGGGCACTGAGAAACAGTCTAAAATGTCCAAAACTATAGGAATTTATCGAAATTAAACCTCCTGAAGCTGTTGCCGTCGACAAAAATAACATTTTGCCAAATAAACACGAATTTTATTTTCCCGCTAAAATATCGCGGGAAATCGTTACTATGAATAGATATGATTGCTGGGCTAGCCCGCCTCATATGAAAGCAAAGCGGGCCAGCTCGGCAAAGCGGGCCAGTTCGGTTAACCGGGCTCGTATGATTAAGAGTTTGCTGTGAGTTAGTTTGATAGTTTGATGATTTGTTTACAGTTTATTTAATGTGCGAAATCATACACACCTTGTACTTTTAGCTTTACCTGAAGTGCCAGTGCAAAATATTTTTGCTTTGGAAGTAGAAATATAAACTTTTTCGCCACTTTAGTATATCGACTGTCATGTCGTTTCTATCAAATTATAGGCGGTGTCTACTGTATTAAATACGACTACGAGATTTTTTCCATTAAATATCAGCCACTAAAAACTTACTTATGCATGGTTTGGCGCAACTGTTGCTATGAAGAAAGTGTATGCAGAAGAAAGGACGATATTTCGTAGCCGTAGCGATCAGTCCAAAGTCCCTATTATGTTGTAGATTTCATGTTACTAACTTATATTTACTGGCTTTAGTGTACATTATTTTATTGCTTTAGAAGTCTCTTATATTAATAACAAAGTACAAAGCCAAAGAAGCTAGGATTGTTTACTATAATCTATTGACTACATATTCAACTTATAAAATACAGATTTATTAGGAATGTAATTAAAATTAATACTCTAAAATTTAAACTTTTAAATAAAATGTCAAAGTTAAACTACAAACTATATAAAATCTCAAATATAAAATCTTCCGTTGACCAGTAAAACTATTTTGCTCTGGCCTTACAACAAAAATATGTTATTATATATTAATTAAAAACAACATTTTTATTTATCTATTTTTAAATATTCAGTTTTGTATTAAAAATAGAGAACCGCCCTTTAACACTGTGTTAGCCTAACAATGTGTCTGGTTAAACTAGTGCTCCTCTCATAAATTTAACAACAGACTCTCACTGAAAACGACGGCGTCCCAGACTCATATTTTGAGCTTGATCCATCTGATTATACTGTCGATTAACTCAAGCGGTGGTTAAAATGTAGAGGCTTATAGCAAAGTGGTAAACGCCAAGTTCTTCTTCAACGAGTTAGTGATTGCATTTAATAGTTCGGGAAAGCATCGTTCGCTGGATGTATTGACGGGGGAAAATGGTTAGCTGCGAAAGTTCTTGGAGAAAAACCAGCACAGTCCGAAGTCAATAACAATCTACACATTGCTACTGCAGACATTCCCGTCCCGTCCGACTTTTCAATTCCCTGTTTCGGCAGTTTTTCTGAGTATCTCGAATCATTTGGGCATGTTCCCCCGCAACAGTGCTTAGCATTAACCATGTTTGTAATTTGGGATAAATTTGAATTCGTTTTAGCACAGATAAAATAATAAAAACGTCAATTTAGACCAATTTATGTTCGCTGCTAGTGCAATTCTATACAAAATGATACTTTGCTTGTCTGAGTCTCGTGGGGGGTCTTCATTTGGAGAATCGATTTTTAGCTACTGCGGACAGCGCTATTTGTCGACAAAATGAGTTTTTGGTTTCCCCAGCTTCACGAGGGTACCTAAATATCGAGCCAGGACTCGAGCTAGGACTCGAGCTAGGACTCGAGCCAGGACTCGATTCAGGACACGAGCCAAAAATGACGTCAAGTGATTTTTATGGATGAAAATTTACCAACAGCGTTCTCACTTTTGAGGAACTTTCCTTAAATTTAGACTATTCGTTCACCAACAATGCGAAATGTTTAAGGAAATTTAACTGAATCCGAGGAATTGTTTATCGATAACCTAAGGAATGTTTGGCAAATGGGAAGTGAGAAAACTTGTTTACCAAATCAATTTCCAGCCTTTAACCGCCAGATTCGATAAAATAACTAAAGAACGAAAGTTGATATTTGGTATATTTGTACATACAGAGCTGTCAATCTCATCTGACTTTGGCTATTAGGGGCCGATTACATGGAGCATTTTCAACCCCGGGGTTGAACTCAGCCCTGTTAACCGGGTTGAATTTTTTTGCGATTACATGGACGATTTCAACCTCGGGGTCAAAACGTTATACTATATGTTCTCGGCATCGATTCGTGGAAGTAAAAAGCCTGTATTTTGTTTTCTTGTAATAAATAGTCACCACCACGCATCCTCGAATAACTCATGATAATTTCAGCCCTGGGTTGAAACGATTACATGACAAAATTTTTAACCCAGGGCTGAGTTCAACCCCAGGGTTGAAATCAGCCCTGGTTTGAAAATTTTGTCATGTAATCGCGCGTTTGATTTTGATAGAGTTTTGTGTTACAGACAGGGCTGAAATTTCAACCCGGTAAACAGGGCTGAGTTCAACCCCGGGGTTGAAAATGCTCCATGTAATCGGCCACTAACTGTAACGGCTATTAGCGTCGGAAGACAGTGAATGAAACAATAGTCAATACCATTGTTGTTGTTTGTCTTTGATATATTGCACAAATATCGATATCCAAAAAAGGGAAATATCCGGCCAGTATTTTATCGAACTAAAACAGTTGGTATTGCGCATCACTAGCAGTCTCTCGCTCTTTACAAAACAGATACTTGTTGCCGCTCATTGCCGCTTAGCATTCGTCAAATAGTCGGATAATTCTCCCTGCCTTATTTTCCTGTAATAGACGCCAATATCACCAAACTGTATTATAGAAGAGCCGGCCACGCTGGCTAACTATATTACCAAATACACCCTTTCGTTAATTACTTACTTTCTTATGTTTTAGTTATTGCTTCAGTGGCCATTCTGTATTCATTTCAAAGTGCTATAGACATAGCTGGTACAACTCGTTATCTTGTAGAGATACAAGCTCAAATGACTTCTACTGAAAGAATTCTGGCTTACACTGAAATTAAACCTGAGAAGGGACACGAGATCAATGAACAACCACCCAAAAATTGGCCAGAGGCAGGGAAAATAGAGTTCAAGAATGTTTCGTTGCGATATTATGAAAATGGACCGAAAGCATTGAAAGATATATCATTTCAAATCAATCCATGTGAAAAGATTGGTGTTGCAGGAAGGACAGGTGCTGGCAAATCTTCTCTGGTTGCAGCGCTCATGAGAATTGGCGAAACTGAAGGAGATATTATTGTTGATAATTCGAATATTGAGTGTCTAAATCTTCAATCTACTCGTCAACGAATTTCTGTGATTTCCCAATCCCCCGATCTTTTTAGCGGTTCTATCAGAGAGAACCTAAATCCAACAGGTGGTATAAATGATTCGGAAATATGGAATGTTTTGGATCAGATAGAACTGAGTTTTCTTGTTCGAAGTTTACCAGGAAAGTTGGACCATCTTTGCACTGGTGGCGGTTCAAATTTTAGCGTTGGTCAACGGCAGTTGTTTCGTTTAGCAAGAGTTTTATTGAAACAGAACAAAATAATAATTTTTGATGAAGCAACAGGCAAAGTAGACAAGAAAACAGCGGAACAAATACAGAAGGTTATTCATGATGTACTTAAAGATTGTACAGTAATAATAATCTCACATCGCATGACTACAATTCAGAGATGTGAGAAAATTATGGTGTTGGAGCAAGGTTCCATTGTTGAGTTTGATAAACAACATGTTTTGCTTAACAGACAAAAAGGGTTCTTATCGGAACTCGTGAGAATTGCCAATGAAGACAAAATGTACTGAAATGGACAAAGCGCCGAGTAGATATTTAATCCATTTGATGATTTAAACGGTATATGAATACATGTAATTTATATCGATGATAGACTTAAACTCTGTATATTTAAGTCCCGTATAGTAGACAGCATTTAACCCTCCGTTTAGTAGATGTATAGTTTTAGGCGTCCATAATATATTGCACATATCGGCCTAGATAGAGTTATTTACGTCTTCGAATTCGTCGATTTAGAGACTTGAATTAAGATCTAGACTTGAATAGTGGGTATATAGATTGATGAATCGTATACCAATGTTGAACACCTATATTTAAGGCTCTGCGCAAATTTATTTCCTAATTCTGTGTACGAAATACGTTGATGTATAAGTATAATGATGTTAATTAATCTGAAATATGTACACTGTTGTTTGTTTCCGTTCACAACTCATCGACATAATGCGCGTGTCAATTCCGATAACACCCAAACCCCATGCACACAGACAGACAAATATGGAAAGGATGGAAAGGAGGTTAACCATAGGGAATTTTGTTCTACTTTCAATGACACATAAATCAGAACATTATTACAAAACGAAAGTATTTCAATGTTCGTGGTCTAGAATTTAAAGCTAATAACAGTAAGAAATTTGTAGTGTCGATGTGGATATGTGAAAGTCTTTCCATTTTGTTCAATGTTTTTAAGGTTCCAATTAAAATGATCTAGTGGTCCACTTCCGGGAAAATATCAGACTCAGCTTTAATTATTAAATTAAGTAAACTTATATGAAATTCGTCCCTCAATAGAACACGTCCAACACTATTTTGAAGTCCCTTCCGCAAAAAAGGACTGAAAAATTGCAATATCTACATGATCGAGACGTAAATTCTTGCAGTTTTCCTGGAGCATAATAATTTATGTTGTAAAGTTAATTCCATAGGCATTCAATGAAGAAAGCATGCAAGACATTGCATTTTCTGTGTTATTTCAATCACGACAAACGAATAAATGTTGTTGCAATTTTCTAACAAGGGTATAGACGATCTTTAAGATATTGATTTTAAAATAACTAGAATAGAAAATTTATTAATATCTTTTTGTAAATAAATAAAATAAATGGCAACCGCACCTACAAAATGTGCAAGAAGTCAATAACGAAACAGCAAAATGAATTATTCTACGCAGTCCTTTTTTTTAATTTTGAACCATTCCTTTTTTATTTGCGGAGTTGAGCAATAATATATATAATATTAAATCATGTCAGCAAATTATAAAATATCAATTAAGTACAAAATATAGGGTTACCACTGAGTAATTTCATGGGCACTCCGAAAACAAACTGTTATCTGAGTGTCCAAGCATTGTTTTGGGTTTTTCAATTATTTAACTATTGTACTTCCTGCTACAATTGATCCGTGCGTGTAATGACTATTATGATTGAAAGGTAGCGCAATTATATCTAAATCATTTGAAGTCCACCTTATCACACCCACACACCAGATTACCTATATATACATCAACTTACGGTTACAGCTTAACAGCTGGCCTCTGTAGCTCAGTTGGTTAGAGCGCTGCACCGGAATCGCAGGGCCGTACGTTCAATTCCTACCAGAGGACCTTGTGCTGCATTTTTCGCGGTCGTTCCTGGTTAGGTCTTAAAATGTATAATAATATTTTCACTTGGATTACAAACCCTAACATTCTAATATTAATTCCACCAAGTGAAGTGCAAGAATCTAAATCATTGAAGTCCACCTTATCTCACACACACACCAGATTACCTATACAGTATATACATTAACTTACGGTTACAGCTTAACAGCTGACCTCTGTAGCTCAGTTAGTTAGAGCGCTGCACCGGAATCGCAGGGCCGTAGGTTCAATTCCTACCACAGGACCTTGTGCTGCATTTTTCGCAGTCGTGCCTGGTTAGGTCTTAAAATTTATATATTCTCACTTGGATTACAAACCCTAACATTCTAATATTAATTCCACCAAGTGAAGTGGAAGAATCCAAATCATTGAAGTCCACCTTATCACACCCGCACACCCGATTACCTATATATACATGAACTTACGGTTACAGTTTAACAGCTGGCCTCTGTAGCTCAGTTGGTTAGAGCACTGCACCGGAATCGCAGGGCCGTAGGTTCAATTACTACCAGAGGGCCTTGTGCTGTATTTTTCGCAGTCGTTCCTGGTTAGGTCTTAAAATGTATATATTCTCACTTGGATAACAAACCCTAACATTTTAATATTAATTCCACCAAGTGAAGTGCAAGAATCCAAATCATTGAAGTCCACCTTATCACACCCGCACACCCGATTACCTATATATACATGAACTTACGGTTACAGTTTAACAGCTGGCCTCTGTAGCTCAGTTGGTTAGAGCACTGCACCGGAATCGCAGGGCCGTAGGTTCAATTACTACCAGAGGGCCTTGTGCTGTATTTTTCGCAGTCGTTCCTGGTTAGGTCTTAAAATGTATATATTCTCACTTGGATAACAAACCCTAACATTTTAATATTAATTCCACCAAGTGAAGTGCAAGAATCCAAATCATTGAAGTCCACCTTATCACACCCGCACACCCGATTACCTATATATACATGAACTTACGGTTACAGTTTAACAGCTGGCCTCTGTAGCTCAGTTGGTTAGAGCACTGCACCGGAATCGCAGGGCCGTAGGTTCAATTACTACCAGAGGGCCTTGTGCTGTATTTTTCGCAGTCGTTCCTGGTTAGGTCTTAAAATGTATATATTCTCACTTGGATAACAAACCCTAACATTTTAATATTAATTCCACCAAGTGAAGTGCAAGAATCCAAATCATTGAAGTCCACCTTATCACACCCGCACACCCGATTACCTATATATACATGAACTTACGGTTACAGTTTAACAGCTGGCCTCTGTAGCTCAGTTGGTTAGAGAAGCTGCACCGGAATCGCAGGGTCCTAGGTTCAATTACTACTATTAGTAATAATTACTTGTGCTGCATTTTTCGCAGTCGTTCCTGGTTATGTCTTAAAATGTATATATTCTCACTTGGATTACAAACTCTAACATTCTAATATCCGAACTTTGGTATACCGTAGTATATGCCGTAGTGCCAATGTATAACGGCACTTCAACGACGAAACTAGATAGAATTTAATGTAATTCGTCACGTAACAAACTGATACAAAATGCTCTGTATGAGTGCTGTGTGAAAATAGCCGGCTGTGTGAATACAGGTTGTATATATAAAAAAAGGTAATCAAATTTTAGCGCGCTATTGCATCGGAAATACTATCCGTATGAGCGAGACTTTTTCATATTCGAAAAGATCAGGCATTTAGCTGTTGAATGATATGTTCTTCATGCGAAATGGATGACAACTGAGCAAATACGAATCCGATAAAAATGTTTGTCACAATCGCATATTTTCACCTTTGAGCTAGAGTTGGGTCTAAAACCATTTAAAATTAACCCTCTTTAGGACTTGAGGCTAGTTTCCAATCAGGAGAATTATCCGAGGATTGGAACGGGCAAGAAAATTTTTCTTGGTGTTGAAGTCATTTGTTCCAACTCAGAGATCACAAGACAAAGAAAAAATTTCTGGTCCGTTCCAATCCGCGGATCATATGGCCAGAAATCACGGACATGATTATTCTACTTCCTTACTAACTTTGCATTATCCTTACTAACTTTGCACATGGTTTACAGACTATTTATTTGGACGACAGCAACATGTTCAACTTGGAGGCAATAAATCGTCAAACCATCCTGTTTTTACAGGAGTTCCTCAGGGGTCAGTGCTGGGACCTTTGTTATTCCTAGTGTTTTATAACGATCTTATTGACATAGGGATAAACTCACGTGTTATAAAGTATGCTGACGATACTCTTATCTGTTGCTCTGGAAAAAATATAGAAATGTTGTAGAAAACACTGTTAAGCGATATGGATTTAATTGCAGAGTATTTTAATGCGAATAAATTGTTAATAAATCTAATGAAAGGGAAAACTGAAATGACTGTTTTTGGTACTGGAAAAAGATTATCTGCGCAACCTCGTCAATTGAGAGTTGAATATAGAGGCAACGTATAAATACAACATAGTCCTACAAATATCTTGGTTACGTACTTGATTCTGGTTTGATACTTAATGAAAACTTTGAGGCAGCCTATAAAAAAGCTAGTAACCGAGTACGACTATTATCAAGGAACCGTAACTATGTAACACCATGTGTGGCGACGAAGATATATCAAATGGTGATTGTACCAATAATCAGGGGCGGATCTAGGGGGTCGTCAAACCGGTCACGCGACTAACGTAAAATTGCCAACTTAAAGTCTTAAATATTCGAACAATAGTCCAGTTATCTTTTATCATGCAGCGACACCTTATATTCTATTATCATGCAGCGCTGGCAATTAACATTCCAATCGAAGCGTAGTCCAGTGGTCAAATTTCTTGCAGTTTCCGAGCGGACGAGCTTAATCAAGTCTATGAGCAGCTGACATACGCAAAGTTGGTCAGACGAAAAGTTAAAATCCAGTGTTCTGATTGGTCTAAACGCTTATATCCATGGAAACAAGCAACTTTTTCGATTTTGACTGATCAGTGGGAAGTTCTGACCGATTTACAAAAGTAAAGTCAGGGCCACCAAGTGTCACGTTGGAGCTATGTAGAAAGATTTCAATTCAAAGATTTCTACGGAAAATTTGGAAATGTCTGCTACTCGATCCTTATAGTACTTACGAAACGGTTCAATCCGCATTTGCGGTGAATGATTTAGCCGTCTTACAAGACGGTTGGGCTGATCTTGTGAGGAAAATCGACGCTATATTGTGGAGTTTGGTTGAGCAGTTGCGAGGCGCCATGAATAGCACGAGCTACAGTTTAATAAGTAGACGTATTGGCTCCGAGATCTTTATTCTGAAGAGTATGCGAGATCAAAAGGACACGTCATGTACTGCATAGTGCATGCAATAAGGTAAATTTAATGTGATATGTCAATTTTATTTCGTTTTAGGCACTGATGGTTTTAGGCCGTATAACAATATTTATAAGGAAACAAGATGCGCGGCAATGAGCGGCGCTGCCATGCACGTATCTCGATTGAGGTTTAGCTATGAATTTGATTTGCACAACAAATTTGCATATTTTACGGTTGAAGGACCGTCAGAACTCAGAAGGCTATTAATATCGAGGATAACCGATATAAATGCAGTGCACATTTATTTTTAATATATGTCTGTTTGAGTAATATGTATATGCATGGCACTGTAATGATTACTAGTCAAGTGATCAATGATTCAACAGGGCTATTAGGCAACATAAATTAGTGTAGTAGGCTACCGTCATGATTTAGTTAAACATAACACTAGCAATTAAACAGTAATTCGATAAAATAACACATCTTCCACAATGATCGTGTTTCTGCAAGTACTTTTCCTTTAGTTTTCCCTAAGGAGCGAATTGTGAGAGCCAGTGAGACTGAAAATTGCTATAATTGTCTCCCATTTCATGAGGTTAATTTTGTGTTGAAGCTGCTCTCAGAGTGTTGCAAATGGCGTTTTTGAGGTTCAAAAATCAAAAATTTTCCTGGGGGAATACGCCAAGACCCCCGAGGGAGCCTCATCCTCGATTCGACCCTGCCAATAATTACGTATAGTCATGGGATGGTCAAATTATTTCTAACTGAGACGAAGCGACGAAAGCTTACGTCCATTGAAAACCGAGCACGAGCAATTATTGGTGATGAAGTATACTTGCCTGATCTGGATACTAATTGATAAGCTAAGAAACAAAGCGTGTTATGTTCTACGAAAATGCTTGGGAAAAGATATTTGAAATATTTTGAAATTAATAACCATAGTCATAATACGAGAATTCAACAGAAATAATTTGATAAAGCTACCAAAAGTAAAGCTTGAATTTGATAGACATGCTTTTGCTTTGCAGCGGCAATAATTTATAATGACTTGCCTTGCGAAATTTGAGCTGAAGAGGACAACAAAATATTTCGGAAACTGCTACAAAATTATTACCAATGATTAAATTATAGTATATATTATATAGATTATAGATTATTTAGTATGGACTATTTAGCTAAATAGAGGACACATATTGGTACCAGTAGTTTGCTGAAATGCTTATCATCTGTAAAGATTTGAAATACAAATACAAATTAATACATAACCCGTTGAAATATGGCTTCGATTGTAAACAGTAAATTATGTTACGCGATGCTTTAAATCGCAAAATCAGAAAATATTTGTAGATTTTGATTTTAATTATAGCCAGCGACTGAGGCAAGTTGCCAGGGACTGAGGCAATTTACAACAGACTTTACAGTATCGCGTAATATTTAACAATTATTCGCAGAAGGCGAGGTGATTATTGGGGAATATTCGCCGAGACGAAGTCGAGGTGAATATTCCCCGATAATCACCGAGGCTCAGGCGAATAATTGTTTAGTATTTCTGCACAAGTTTTGCGTTTTTCCGGTCTGGATTCATTTTGATTTCGCTTATTTCTTTATCACTAACTTCAACAAAACGGCTAGCCGCCATTCTGAAAATTTCGATTTTGTTATATTCACCTGTAGGTGAATATAACAGATTAATACGTCAAATTTGACCAATCACCTTGTAGTATGTTCACTTGTGCAAATATACCAAAATTTACTGTTCACTGCAGAAGCCATATTTCAAAGTGATATGCAAATTACGAAGGAAGTACATTTTAGTAACCAGAGCCCTTCTTACGCGCGGTCAAGCGGGGGCGACGAAGGGCTCTGGCCAAATCCAAACCTGATTCCATAAAAACATGGTATCCGGTTAAACACTGTGCATGCTCAATATATAGACTTTCTTAATTCTTATGTGACGTCAAACGCGGATACACACTTCGTCGTCAATTTTCTTGTTTGTTTTGTTTTGAAGAATTTTCACTAGGAAACCCCAACAAAAGCTATAAGTTTCGCTAATTTCATTTATTTAAATCAATTAGTAGGTAAGATGTGATGTTCTCAATGCATGTTGATAAAATTTAGTATATATCTTCCTCTTAAACGTTGTCAAAGTGACTGAAAAACAGCAGTAATTGCTACGAATACGAAGACGAGAGTTTGTCTCACTATTCAAATGGGCCAAACACGCCACGGAAGCTGATTAACTAATGGTATTTGAGTAATTTACGTTGTTTTATGAATAAATAATGATGTACAATGCATAAAACCCTAGTTTACAGGTTGTAACTGCTCTTTCTGTGCTGATCGCCAAGACAGAAAAGTGCAAGATAAAGAAATTTACAGACTTTACAGTATGGCTCGACGCCTGCTCGACCTCCTTACACGTTTCAGTACAGGAAGCGGTACTTGAGAATTAATGCTGTTACCCAAGCGATTGATCTTGATTCCGCTCCACCTCAGAATGAACCAGTTTGGCCGGTGAATGATCCAACTGAAAATGAACAGCTTCAGCACCAAACTTGGACGTGATTCTTTTATTCATATTGGTATTTGTTTGTATTGTAGCTTGTTTTTGGCGGTTCTAGTTAGGATTTTTGCCTTTGGGTGGTTATCGGTTTGTTAGCAGTATATGATAGGTGTGGCGAAGTTATTATTCGTTGTATAACGCATGCATGCATGGTTCACTCGTGGGCGGCTGATCGAAAAATACGGCCGCCTCTTTTCTGTGTGTGTTTAAGGATCGCTTACACTTGTGGTTTTAGTTACAGTTCTGTTGTATGTTGTATGTTATACATTATATTATCTTCATTTGATGTGTATTTCCGTCCTTGTGCGGGGTTATTTACCATCAAGTTCGCTTTCATTTATTTTAGTTCAGTTGAGATTGCGACGCATGAATGATTCCCGTCTGGTTTTAGCATTGTTAATTTTGTTAATGTTCTACGCGAGCGGGTCGTGTATTTCGCAACATTAAAATGTTGAAAAGAAAAATAGCTAGGTTATAGTGATTACCTTTCGCCTTTATTAAAATGGTTATTGGTTATTGTGTTTTCGTATGGTATGGCACAGGAGCGAATTGCACTGCATGATTGATTCATTCCGAGCTACGGTAGTTTATTGCATTTGCTTGAGCGAAAGAGGACCACTGTGTTTGCCGCATGACCGAAGGGCATCTCGCAGTACATACATGCTTGCTTGCGACCGAGCACAAATCCTACTACGGATTTAGCAAGTTGCCAATGTGTTGGGCGTATGAGAAAAGTTCATCTCGCAATTGCATGATTGCTTGAGACCCAGCCCGAGTCGCTACTTAATTTGGACTTTAACCAACGTTACCAATGTGTTTGGCGTGTAAGAGAAGTGCATCTCGCAAGTGGTTAATTTCTTGAGACCGAGCACGTGTATATAGAGACTGAATTTGGATTTTAAACAAAGTTGTCAATGTGTTTGGCGTATAAGAGAGGTGCATCTCAGTAGTATAGGATCTGCCGAAGCGAGACCACTTCGGGTCGTCTACGACGACCCAAAGTGATCTCACTTCAGCTGTTCCATGGCTAATTTTGATGACCAAATTTTTTTGATAGAAGTACGATGAAACTGCTGTTCTAGAGCCGTTCTGAGACGTTTTTCGTAAGACTTGCTCTGGGAGCTTCGGGATCGCTTTAGCGGTCACGTGGCTCCAGCTTAACCTTAGATTTAGCCATTCTCGGAGTGATTCTAAACTTTTCCAATATCGTGTGTTTTACTAGTTCTAGAACACTTTTGACAATTTTCAAACTACCCCTGTGTAAACACAAGGCAGGGTTTACAAACTGTTTGTTTGCTATTCAGAACTACTACTTTATACTCTCTAGATACCCTCCAGTTACTATTTTTGGTGTTCCGGCTATAGTAAGCAAAACTGACAACTTTATTTTACAAAAGATACCTTTTATCATTAAAGCATAGCTCCAGCTGAACCTCAGATGGAGCTATTCTTAGAGTGATCTCAAACTTTTCCCATATTGTGTGTTTTGCTAGTTCTTGAACACTTTTGACAAATTTCAAACTACCCATGTGTAAACACAAGGCAGGGTTTACAAACTATTCATTTACTATCTAGGAATACTACTTTTTACTCTGTGGAAACCTCTCAATCACTATTTCTTATATTCCTGTTACCATAAGCATAACTGGTTACTCCATCTTCCAAAAGATAACTTTTATCATCAAAGCATAGCTCCTGCTGAACCTCAGATTGAGCTATTCTTAGAGTGATCTCAAACTTTTCCAATATTGTCCGATTTCCCAATTCTGGAGCCTCTTTGCCAACTTTTAAATTACCCTTGTGGGTACACAAGGAGGTAGTCTATCCTGCTTGGATACACTGTTGGCATCATCCTTTTCACCCTGTGTGGTCACTTCAACCTTAATATCATTCGTTACAGAGAAGTTTATATCACCAGCCTTTCCATTTCTCCTAGACCTCTTACGACAGCCACAGATTTTACCCATACATGAGAAGCATGAACGCCACTCTGACATGATACTTTATGATACAACACATGTTATCCACCGTTTGACCCTGAATACAACAGTGACCAGCAAAAGGCTAAATCCATATGGGTCCTAATAGGCATTGACTGCTCAGGTTTAACTATAATACACCAGGCCATTGGTTATCAACAAGTTCAGCCTGACCTCCAATATAATATTCTACATTACCTTTGAACGCGTAACATGCCGTACTAGCACCGTCATCTTTAAATGTTCCCAGGAAGTAACAATGTTGAAGTCTGGTTAGATCAATAGTTCCAAGTACGATATCTGTTTTTATTTGTCTGAATTTACCATTAGACTGCTTCTTGTAAATAAACGCTCTCAGTATCAATTCCAGATTCACATTCATAGCTTCAGCAAGAGTGTCAGCACTATGTTTCATAGTTATTGTCTCCAGGTTAATATTAGTCAAATTGTTGATAGGATCAGTTCTCCACATTGGAGGAATACTATTATAACTGTAAGCATAATACTTGGTTTTTGCATATACTACTCCCCGATAACCCCACGTCCACTGGGTTACCTTATGATGTTTCTTTTCAACATACTTTCCTGCTGGAATAGAAGGAGCGAAGTTATTTTCCACCCATTGCTTGTTCACTGCATCCTTAGCATTCACAGGATCCCTTAGATCAAGAATACCACTCGAATCTCCCATATCTAGATCTCCCTTTACCAATCCACCTCTACTACTCATGAACTCATCAGTTGCCCATTTCTTATTAACAGCAGAACCGTCAGTTGTTGGGTCAGCCAGCTTGGTTAACTCAAAATTATTCACATCAAGATTACTTGCTAACGTACCACCGTTACGCTTCAAGAACTGTAACCCCCAAGTATCCAGCGTCTTACTTGACAGTGCAGCTGTGTCTCCACCCATATTAATATCACCTGTCATCGTAAATCCACCACTCTTAATGGAACTTCCACTAACATGATTAGTTACCCACTTTTTAGAAACCGCAGAGTTATCAGTGGTGGGAGCGCCTAACTTTATAATTTCATTGTTATCCATATCCAAGTCGTCGGATAGTGTAAGACCACTATAAGTCTCACGTCTACTTCTACCTCCGCTTATCTTATCTTCTACCCATTTTTTGCCAACTGCTGACGTATTGCTGGTTGGCGCACCAAGACTGCGTATTTCAAAACCGGCCATATTAAGGTTACCACCCATAAAGTCACCGCCTTTTTTTACATGAGAGGCATCGCTAACTTTAATATTATCATCCACATATTTTTTTGTAGCAGCATCGAGATCGTTTCGGGGTGGATGAATATTTGAAACCGCATTTGTTCCCATATTAATTTCACCAGTCATGGTAAATCCTGCAGTGCTAGCTAGCGGAGTTATTTTATCTTCAATCCACTTTTTTGATACTGGATTGAACGAAGAAGATTTCAAAGAAAAGTCTGAAGAACTGAGATACATCAGAATGCTATCAAATGAATCCCAGAGAAAGTCAAACTTAAATAAACTTCTCAACTTAAGAGATAAGGTGAAAAAGAGAGAGCTAGTAAAGCGTGACGATAATAGGAAATTAGAGTTGTTCAAAATATGGGCAAGGGAGAATGCAGGCGTATTATCTGCTGTATTTATCTCATCAGCTGCTGTGATAGTCGGACTTGTAGTTACAACTAGAAGTATGGCGTGGAAGTTAGGTGATGAATCAAAAAGGATAAATGAGAAGCTAAATGATATGGTAAGAAATCAGATGAAACTACCCCCTGTATTCCTAAAGTTAGCAGATGGGCTGGAAGCAGTAGGTGACAATATATGGACTATTATAGCGGGGGCCATAGGTGTGATATTCCTGCTATACGAACTAAGCTAAACATTACATATTGTATACAAGTATGAATACCACAGAAAAGGAACTCCAACCTGGCTTCAGGAGGAGTCGCATGACTACCATCAGAGGTCATCGAACCAGAAGTGTTGTCACATTCAATCCAACAACTATTAGCCCAGGTGAAGAGCTTTACATCAATATACCGAAACTCAAACCTTCTTCCTGCCTAGTTCCAGGATCACTTGCTCTCCTATTTGACTTCAAAAATTCCAACACCAAGAGTCGCTTTAATTACAACCTATCTAAGCTACTATCAAAACGCTTACAAGTAAAGGTAGCAGGTGAGACAGCCTATGACTGTTCAGGAGAGAGTTTGTACGAAATATACCAAGATCTATGACTAACACTAGGTGACAGGAAAAAGATGACTGAACAGGGCCTTGCAAGTGAGAATCTCAGGAAGTTAATTTCAGGTGATGACACAGGGGTAACAGTTGGTAATGCTGGTAATGTAGTAGATGCACTTCTATACACTGTATACGGCTCAAAGCTGAGAAAACCGATTGATAAGATACTTGGGGACGATGGACTCTACACACCGTTCTCTATGAATAACAATCCTATGTACATCCTCACACTACCACCGTCAGATGAGATTATGACTGCCCAAGGAGGTGAAGCTAAAGGTGATTACAAACTAGACAATCTTGAGTTAGAATACGAGACAATTGAAAATGACAACCTTGCGAGTGAAGTCTCAAGTCTCTATTCAACAGGCCGCTCACTGTCCTACAAACACGTCACACTTATGCGTACAAGTAATTGGGACAAAGATAGTACAATTATCAATGAGAACATAAATATCCCTAGGAAAAGCATGTCAGCAATTGTCCTTCTATTTACCAACAGAGTGAGAACTGACAGCGAAGAATATATTTACCCAAACATTGATAAAGTGAACATGACCATTGAAGGTGTGCCTAATGCAGTCTTCTCCCAAGGACTTCCCAAACATAGGTTCTTTGAAGAGGCAAAAAGATTCTTTTGCCCTATGTGTGAGAAATCCATGGCAGACGAATTTATGTCCATCAGTAAGTTCTTCAGTAATGGCTTCGCTCTAGTGATCGATCTCAGGTCAACACAAGATGATACCACTGGTGGAGGTATGAAGATTGTTAACACACAGTCAGGTGTACTACTGGAAATTAAAAAGAGAGCCACAACAGCTGACGTTCAATGCAACATTTTCGTTGTATCAGATGCTCTCCTTAACTTTGCTGATAGAGATCTATCAAGTATTCAATACTAATGGTAAAGCATAGAGATGCAACAACTTAAGCCCCCATTCAACATGCTTATAGTAGGAATGACTGGAAGTGGTAAAACCCAGTTCCTACTTAATATGATAGACACAGAGTACAATAAAGTTTTCGATTATATTATCATTATATGTCCAACCATAGAGTGGAATATGACTTACATTAATTGGAGTCATATTAGTGACCACGGAGTTATACAAATTCCATGTTCACAGGAACTGACAGATCAAGTTCTCAAGGCGGTGTCCACCATATTCCGCGGTACTCAGACTCTTATCATAGTGGACGATTGTGCGGCAGGTCAAGCTGTAAAGAAAAGGGTCTCAGAACTGGTGCGCTTAGCATTCTTCGCAAGACATTACAACCTATCTGTCATTGTACTTACGCAACAATTGTCATCAGTAGCAAAGCCCTTCAGAGAGAACATATCCAGGCTAGTTACATTCTACAACCCTAGTCGCAGAGATATGAAGGTGATAACAGATGACTACCTGAGTGGTGTTCCTCAAGAGACAATCACAGAGATTACGAAGATATTAAAAGATGAAAAGTTCACCGCACTGGATATACTACTATTCACCCTTACACTTACACTATTCACCCTTACACTTACACTATTCATTAAACACCGCGTAAAATATAGATGGGTATCGGAAAAATTGGACCAGAGTCTGACGACGAAATGATTGCAGTCGCAGTCGCAGAAGTAGAGGAGGCCGCAAAGGCACCGCAGAAAAAAGCTAAGTCTACCGCAAGAAAAACTAAGGCCACCGCAGATAAGTCGCAAACTGAACATAAAAGGGACAAGCTTATAGAGCTATCGAGGGACGGTATAATAGAGAAGCCCGCAAGTTTTATAAGAAAGTCTAACAAAGATGTTGTAGATAGACTGTACCATGAGTATGAAAGTCAGAGGATGTCGTGTGCAAGCGACTTCTTATCAACACTTATTATTTCAAAGTTTGCGTCAGTCCTGGGAAGTTTTAACGCAGTGGGATCTTCAGAGAAACTGTCAGAGGAACTACTTAGTGACAAACTTCTGAAGGACGACGTAGCATATCTCACAAGGACTATTTCACCAAACATCCCATTCATAGGGCTAATATCTGGTGGCTGTACAACTGCTAAGCATGTAGTCGCCCACAAGTGGAAGAAGGAAGAGCAGCCTGAGGAAGTGTCCGAGGAAACTAAACATCTTCTATTACATACAGAATACCACAACTCGGAGAGCCCTACGACTGGGGAAACCCATGGGAAGGAACAGAATTCGAAGAAATAATTAACGAACTGATTAAGAAGACTGATGAGAACAGGGAACAGCTGGACAAGATTCAGGCAACTATGGAGGCTCTTAAGTATGACTCAGAAGCTTTCAAAAACGAGACCATAAAAATGGTAACAGATATTTACAAAAACTTACATGAAATGAATAAGTGAAATTTAAATCACCAGAAAAATAAGTCAAAAATTTTTTACACATATAGTATAGAGAAGATGGAGCAAATTTTTGATAACAGGAAATTGAATGTTAGCGTAAGAACAGTGAGGTGGGGTGAGGGTATATTGTTCTATGCAAAAGATGTGGCGGAATCACTGGGATACTCAGACACCAAAAAAGCAGCCAGAACGCATGTATGGGAAGAGGATAAGTTTACTCTGGGTAGTTTGCAAAGGGGTGACTCCAGGCTACCTTACTGAAGGGTCATCCTAGCACAGTTTTAATTACCGAACAGGGTTTGTACCAGCTAATATTCGGATCCGAACTAAACACAGCAAAAGAGTTCAGAAGGTGGGTATTTGGTGATGTGATTCCATCTATCCGTAAAACTGGCTCATACAATTTACCAAAACGTGAGCAGCTGGTGGGCAAACAAATAATGCTAACTAACGAGACCGATCTTCATTACGCAGTAGTAAAGCACATACGCGAGTATCACCCAGAAGCGCTACTAATGCCTGGATTAGGGGAGTACCAGGATACCTCATATAAAAGATGTAACGCTTGGAGGAAGGGATATATGGGAGGACAACCGGACCTTATAATAACAACCCCAAGCAATGGATTCCACGGATTCGCAGTAGAACTCAAAACCCCAAAGGGCACAGCCGAAGTAAGGGACAACCAAATGCTATGGCTAAAGACGCTAAACTAAAATGGATACCAGACACTAATATCTAATGATTACACAGAAATAGTGCTAGAAATAGAGGATTACTTTAGGGTAAACAAAACGGATAAACTTCTAAAGGAAAGAAAGAACCTGAAGAAAAAGTGCACAATTCTTGAGAAGGCTCATCTGTACAAACCAAAGTTCACATCACATAAGTACTAGGAAGGAAATAGTTAGCGGTAAAAAACTTAGAAAATGCTCGGCAATTATAGTCGGGCATTTTTTAAGCAATCCCATCTATATATACATCTATGTATACATCTATACAAAGAAAGTCCCTGTTACAAGTGAAAAGAAGAAGGACCCTAGGAGAGTACAAGCTGGAAAGAGACTAGCTGTTTTAAGTAAAGTCGCAAGGGAGGGGAAGAAGAGGGAAGCGGCCGAACCTAATGAGTCATTTAGCAGTGATAATTTCATTACCTATGTAGGAGTGGCCATTGCACTGGTATCCCTTGTTCTAGCGTATAAGACCCATCAGAGAGAAACTAGGGAACCAGAACCGCAGTACATTCCTTAGACTGTAGAAGTAGTGAAGAAAGCGGACGAGTCCAAGTTAGATTCACTTGAATGATACATTAAACATAACATATATTATAACAAGATGAGTACAGGTGACAAGTCAGAAATGGGAGGTGAAGTATACGATGCACTGCTGCTTACAGTAGGAGCAATTGGAATTTCAATGGCATCTAAGAAACTACTGAAGGAACCACTAGGTACACCAGAGAGTACAAAAGGAATGTTGAAGTTGGCTGTCTCTGTCAGTCTTTCATCCCTACTAGTAGCATACTTGAAGAAACACAAGTTCATCCATAATAACCCAACTAAACCCAAGAAAACTACCTGAAACAATGGTCAGAGTATAGAATGACAAGCGCGGTAGCAGGAGGACTTTTTAATGCATTTGCATTTGCAGGAGCAGGATACCTATTTAAAATGTTCGATAAGAACGGATACGCTGAGGAAGCTAAGAGACATAACCTTGCAATGGAGAACCTAACAGCTGAAAGAGAGAAGTACCTTGAAGACGTCACTGATAGAAGAAATAGAATAGCTCAACTAAGGGACGAACTAGCTGATACAAATAGGGATATCAAGTCAACGAACCAGTCACTGGAACTAGTTAGAAGAATCAATGAGTTAACACGTAAGGCTATGCCGAGGAAGCCGCAATTAGTAATCACTACAAACCTAGCTCCGAGATGGAAGAATATATGGCACTATTTGGTTTAGTTGCAGGTGGCGTGGTTGGAGGGGCAGCTTATTTAATGCTGTAAAAATTGACGCAAATTTTTTCACATCTATTAGTATAGGGAAACGGACGCGCTGGCTACAGATGGTAACACCTGAGGAGATGGTATATGTAGGTAAGAGGGTAAATACAGTGAAAGAGCTAGAGGTTGCTGTAAGGAGGTACGCTGAGAGTAGAATAAAGAGGAGACATACATATGATCCAGTATGTAGTGAATGTGAGAGTAAGTCTATTATAATAATAGATGGAGCAGATCCATGTACATCATGTGGAGTATGTAGTTTGAATAACTTTTCGTATTATGTTAGTTACAACCACAACAAAGACGACTATCTGAAAAAGAAGTCTTGTCATAGGAGAGTTCGCTGGTTTGAGAGACATTTGTTTAAACATGTTGCTGCTAGGGATAGGGATACCATACGGGAGCAGTTTAGAAGCATCGTGAGATCTATACAAAGACTTAAACTGCAAAGGGGGGCTCAACATTGTTAGATACAAGTTCTACCTGCTCAGGTTAGCTAGTATGAATGGCATTGAGCTGAGGGACCCACCAGAAGACATTAGGACTCAGAAAATAGTGGACGTGCTTGAGGATAGGTTGTATGGGAAAGTTTTTGTTGAGCTTGGATGGAAACCTGAAAAATGTGAATATTATAATAAATGGAAAATTAAAAACACTTAAAGAAATATTAATATATTAAATTAATGGGAAAAATATTTACGTATTATATTAGTAGGAAATTATTAAATTAATAATTTAATAATGTACACAGAAACTATCCTAGTAAATACTGTAGTTATTACTCCCAATCAAATGAACAAAAATATAATGAAAAATATACTAAATAATCTAAGGGAAGATGTCGAGGGTAAATGTCTGAGGAATCATGGAGTGGTTACGAAGGTGCACAAAATAGAAAGACTCCTTGGAGGACAGATACCTGCAGAGGACACTAGAGCAGCCGCCTATTACACTGTACACTTCAGTTGCACCCTATGTAAGCCTGAGGAGGGAGAAGTAATTAGTGGACGGGTAACAAAAATAGGAAACAGAATCACCATAATGAAAAATGGACCGGTGAACATATTTGTTGAAGGAGCGAGCTGTGTAAAAGCAGGCAAAACCTACAGGGTTGGAATACTGTCTGTAACCCTAACCAGTGGAGACACAGAGAAATTACAGCTATTGGAAAAATTAAAAACACTTGGAGAAATATTAATATAATAAAATATTAATAAATAATTAAATCAAATATTAATGAAATAAATTCAAAATAAATTCGAAATTAAATACCTCATTTTTTTTTTACATATACAGTATAGAGGAAAAGTCAGAAAATGAATTCAGTTGAAAACACCAATATGTCAAACATCAGCATGGAAGCGTTAATAGCAATTGGAGAGCACTTCTCAGGGAACATTCCTAGTGACGACGAAGAGTTTGAGCAGAAAGTTAAGGCCTTCAGGGAAAATCCCTACTTTGAGCGAAAGGAGCCTGAGAAAGATCCCATTGTAATAAGACCCAGACCGCGGAGAAACCCTAAGAACTATAGAGGGAAAAGAGGAACAGCTCCCACATGGAATTAGTACTCCAAGCGGCAGCAAGAAAAGCCAGCCCTGATTGAAGAAGCATTTGAACGACTGAAGGGAACACCAGGATTGCCCGAATCAACGGGAGGTCGGTGGTATACTGACAATGACCTCATTAAGGCAGAAGTTGAGAAGATAAAGCAGGAAAGGAACCCGAAGATACCGAAGAAGAGAGGCAGACCTCCAAAGGCAAAAACAGAGGTCGAAGTGAAGGTGCCCAAAAAGAGGGGCAGGCCACGCAAGGTGAAGGTGGACGAGGAGGTGAAGGTGCCTAAAAAGAGAGGTAGACCACCTAAGGTGAAGGTTGAGGCTAAACCTGAAAAGGCAAACTGTGGCTGAAAGGTTCAGGGCACAAATGACTGTTAGACCTGTTATTCCAGCCGATAGTGTTGTAAATAAGGTGGGTCCTGGCAAGTACACAATAACGGTTGACCTTCACCTAGAACGGTACTTCCTAGGGAAAGACCTGTACCGAAACCTAGGACTAAGCTTCCTAAGGAAAGACATGTACCAGCACCCAGGACTAAGAAACCGGTGTCTCCTCCTAAGGTCCGTAAGCCTGTAAGGGTGTCAAGGGAATCTAAGGAGCAGACTATGGTGGTTGACCCAGAGCAACACGAAATAGACCCATTCGGAACAGACCTTGAAAAGTCATTCCATAGGAAAATTGAAACAGCTGCCAACGGAGCCGCTGTGACTTACTCGATAACTCCTCATTATATGGACCCTCTGGATCAGATGACCGCAAGTAGACAGGTGGTGAGAGGAATACTTGTGAACGAGTTGAAGAGAATGAGTGGGTTGAAGTACACAGAGACCATAAAGGTGAGAATGTCCAAGGAAATCGGTGATGGGAAAACCAAGAAGGACTCAATCTACTTTAAATCCAAGACTGGCACTGTTACGAACTTCGAGGATATTGAAAGTACAGCTGCTCAAAACCAACTGACAATCTTGTCTAGAATTGAGACATTCCAAAACTTAGGTTCAAACTGGATTATGCTCAATATTGAGAGTCATTATGTGAACATTGCGATGTACAAACCACTTGCCGGGAGTTCGTACATGAAACTACCTGCTGACATCAGTAATTCAATGTGTGGGCTCATCAATATGAAGAATGATGATAACATGTGCTTTATGTGGAGTCATGTGAGGTACCTAAACCCTAAGACTAGAAGAGCAACTACCATTACTCAGAAAGATAGGGAATTCGAGATGAACCTAGACTACGAAGGTATAGAGTTCCCCGAAAAGATAAGTGATATTGATAAGATTGAGAGGAAAAACAGTATCAACATATCAGTGTTCGGTTATAAGGGTAAAAAGCAGTTCTACCCTTTTAGGATCTCAAAGGGTAAGTATGAGGATCATATGGAACTTTTACTCCTTGGTGATGATAATGGAAACAGACACTATGTGCTCATAAAGGATGTGAATAGAATGCTGTGCAGTGTGAGTAAACATGGCCATAAGCAACACTTCTGCCTACACTGTCTTCATAGCTGTGTTAGTAAGGAGGTACTGGAAAACCATAAGGAAACATGTTTGCAGGTAAATGGAACTCAGGCTACAAAACTCCCCAAGGAAGGGACAAAAATAAAGTTCAAAAATCATAGGAACTCAATGCCGGTGCCGTTTGTAATATACGCTGATTTTGAGTCCATACTGGTGCCTAAGGAAAGAAAAGAGAAGTCAAAGAACCCCGAGGACAATAGTAGTACAGACCTCTACCAGACACACAAGGCCTGTAGCTTTGGTTTGAAAACAGTCTGCCACTATGATGATAAGTACTCTGGTGAGTATCAGAGTTACGTTGGAGAGGATGCTGCATTGGTCTTCCTAAAGACTGTATTGAAAGAGTCCTTCAGATGTAGAGAGATGATCAACAATATATTTAAGAAAAAGATGGTAATTACACCCAAACAGGAATCCGAATTCCAGGCTGCAAGAAACTGTTCAATATGTGGTAACGACCTTGGTGAGGATAGGGTAAGGGACCATGACCATGTAACAGGAATGTACCGTGGTGCTGCTCATAATATATGCAACCTTAAGTATAGAATTACATGGAAAGTGCCTGTGGTCTTCCACAACCTGAGAGGTTACGACAGCCATCTGATTATGCAGGAAATTGGCAAGTTCAGGATGGATGTTAATGTAATTCCAAATAATATGGAAAAATACATCTCATTCTCACTGGGTAAGAATCTGGTCTTCATAGACTCTATACAGTTCATGGCTTCTTCACTGGAAGCACTGGTAAGTAATCTTTCATCTGAGGACTTCAGGATAGTAGGTAAGAGGTGGAAGGGTGAGGACTTCAATCTAGTGACACAAAAAGGAGTGTTCCCATATGAGTTCCTAGACGATATTAGCAAACTCAATACAGAAGGTCTTCCGAGCAAGGATAAGTTCTACTCATCACTGTATGAGTCAGAGGTGAAGGAGGAAGATTACAAGAGAGCTCAGAAAGTAAGGGATCACTTTAAGATGAAAACCATGAGAGACTACCATGATCTCTACCTGGAAACCGACGTTCTTCTGCTGGCTGATGTATTCGAGAACTTTAGGAGAACATGTCTAAGAAGTTACGAACTTGACCCCGCACATTACATGTCAGCACCTAGTCTGAGTTGGGACGCTTTTCTGAAAAAGTCAGGTGAAGAAATAGAACTAGTAAGTGATATGGATATGTTCCAGTTCTTTGAGAAGGGTATGAGAGGTGGTACAAGTTATATTGCTCATAGACTCTCAACAGCTAATAATAAGTATATGGAAACGTATGATGAGGACTCTGAAAATAAGTACCTGATGTACCTCGATGCTAGCAATCTGTATGGCTGGGCAATGTCACAACCGCTGCCTAATGGAGAGTTTAAGTGGGTTGAGGAGGTTGATGGGATGGATCTGGATAAGTACCTGAAAAATGGCGAAAGGGGAATGGTTTTAGAAGTTGACCTAGAGTACCCACAGGAACTTCACGATCTACATAACGGTTATCCCCTAGCACCAGAGAGTAAGGAAATTGATGCTTCTATGTCATCAGATTACGCGAAGACTATTGCTGATAAATTCCAACTAACACTGGGACCCAGAAAAAAGTATGTCCTACATGTACGTAATTTGAAACTATACACAGACCTTGGGATGAGGCTAACAAAGGTTCATAGAGCTGTTACGTTTAAGCAGTCTCCTTGGCTTAAGGACTATATAGACTTCAATACGAAAAAAAGGTCAGTAGCCCGTAACACATTCGAAAAGAACTTCTTCAAGCGGATGAACAACTCCATCTATGGAAAGACTATGGAGAATCTCAGGAATAGAGTTGATGTAAAATTAGTGTCTTCCAAAGATGACCTCCTAAAGCGAATGAAGGAAGTGCTAACGCTAAATAAACCGTGCTATGTGGGAATGAGCATCTTAGACCTATCCAAAACTCTAATGTATGATTTCCATTATAATACCATCAAAAGGGAGTACGATGATAGATCAAAACTACTGTTCACAGATACGGATAGTCTGATGTATGAGCTGAAGACGGATGACGTATATGAGGACTTCAGAAGGATTGGTGAAGAGCAAGACTGCTGGGATAATTCGGACTACCCAAAAGATAGCCCCTACTGCTCAACCCATAACAAGAAGGTTATAGGTAAGTTTAAGGATGAAGCTGGTGGAGTACCCATAATTGAGTTTGTTGGGTTGAGGTCAAAGATGTACTCATACATCAAGGAAAACGGTGGGGGTGGAATGACTGCTAAGGGTGTTAAAAAGTATGTCATCAGAAACAAGCTAACCCACAAGAACTTCAAAAATGTAATCAGCACAAAGGGTAGAATGAGACACAACATGAATACAATCAGAAGCACAAAGCACACAATCGGAACTTATGAAATGAGGAAGGTTACTCCGAGTTGCTTTGATGATAAAAGGTATCTTTTGGAAGATGGAGTAACCAGTTATTCTTATGGTAACAGGAATATAAGAAATAGTGATTGAGAGGTTTCCACAGAGTAAAAAGTAGTATTCCTAGATAGTAAATGAATAGTTTGTAAACCCTGCCTTGTGTTTACACAGAGGTTGTTTGAAATTTGTCAAAAGTGTTCAAGAACTAGCAAAACACACAATATTGGAAAAGTTTGAGATCACTCTAAGAATTGCTCAATCTGAGGTTCAGCTGGAGCTATGCTTTAATGATAAAAGGTATCTTTTGTAAAATAAAGTTGTCAGTTTTGCTTACTATAGCAGGAACACCAAAAATAGCAACTGGAGGGTATCTAGAGAGTATAAAGTAGTAGTTCTAAATAGCAAACAAACAGTTTGTAAACCCTGCCTTGTGTTTACACAGGGATAGTTTAAAAATTGTCAAAAGTGTTCTAGAACTAGTAAAACACACGATATTGGAAAAGTTTAGAATCACTCCGAGAATAGCTCAATCTAAGGTTCAGCTGGAGCCACGTGAACGCTAAAGCGATTCCGAAGTTCCCAGAGCAAGTCTTACGAAAAACGTCTCAAAACGGCTCTAGAACAGCAGTTTCATCGTACTTCTATCAAAAAAATTTGGTCATCAAAATTAGCCATGGAACAGCTGAAGTGAGATCACTTTGGGTCGTCGTAGACGACCCAAAGTGGTCTCGCTTCGACAGTTCCTATACTACTCATCTCGCAATGCATGATTGATTGAGACCGCGCGCACGGGTACCTACTGAATTTGGATTTTGAACAAAGTTGCCAATGTATTTGGCGCATGACAGAAGTGCATCTCGCAATGCAATACAATACAATAAAACTTTATTTTAACACGGTAAAATCTTCAGTACATTAATTAAATATAAAAAAAATAATTACAACTGATTTCCAAGATTGCCGTGTGGGAGTCATTTTACAAATTATAGTAATAATTTAAGGAATTCTTAAATAGTGGTAACGA